TAGAGGCTCTACCCGATTGCTCTTTAGAACGGGGATTCAGAAAACTGTACCTGTGGGTTTGAGCAGCCAACAAATTAAGAAAAATTATTTTAAGTAGTTTTAAAAAAGGTCAGAAGATTTTTTAAATATAAGAATAAAACTCACAATCTAGTTGGGAATATTGCTTCATGAAAGTGGCATTTTGTTGTTGGAATGGGGTCTGTATTTAAAATGCATAGTTAGAGGGGCTGGAGAGATGGCTCAATGGTTAAGAGCACTGTGTGCTCTTCCAAAGGACCCAGGTTCAATTCCCAGTACTCGCATGGCAGCTCACATCTTAGGGATCTGATACCTTCACACTAATGCACATAAAATAAAAATTAAATAAATTAAAAAAATAGTTAGAGTTGTTATTTGTACTTTGGACAAATTTACTTTTTAAAATGCCTATTTGGGGGTTGCTGGTGTGTGCGGATTTGTTTGTAGAGTTTGCTTAGCATGCATGGAGGTGCCCTGGTTTGATCCCCAACATAAATGAGCTTGATAGCATACTCCTGTATTTTCAGCACTCTGAAGATGGAGGCAGGAGGCTCAGAGGTCATCCTTGGCTACATAGGGAGTTTGAAGTTACCCTGGACTAATAATGAGACTCTGTCTGATACACCCATTTGCCACTTTTAGATATCCGTAAGAAGGGATAAGAGGCAATATGTTTCCAAAGTTTCTATTCTGAGGATTTCTGTAACACGCGCCTGTAACAATTCTTTTAATTTTTTTTAAATGGTTTATATTCCTGTTTGAGCTGGCTTATGTTCCCTCCCATTATAACAGTCTTGTAGCAGAAATGTAGCCTCTTTCCAGACCCCTGACAAATTGTTCAAAATGCCCTTTCTGCCCCAGCAAACCCAGAGTTATAAGAACAGAAAGTCATCCTTTTGACCACCCTCCATTTGGTCTTTTATTATTTGGAGACCCACGACTGTGTCCCCTCTCCTGCTGATTATAGAGTACAGGCAAATTGCACTCAGCGTGGGAGCTGGTTAAGGTGGGCGGGGCCAGAGAAGAACTCCATTCTGAAGCACTGCCCTGCAGGACATAGATGGAAGGCTTCTCTCCTGCCAGCTTCAGAGGCCTGGAGCCTCCCAAGGTTCACCGCCAGCTCTTGCTATGTGTATCTTATTCTTAAAATTATTTTTGTTCCTGCATTCTACCTGGCCCTGATGTTGGCGAGAAGAATATTTTTCAAGATCAATCAGTGGGGTAAATCAGTGTTTATGATTTTAATTGCACAGACAACAAATTCTTACAGTTACTGCCTACCAGCCCATCAGTGTTGTTGGGAACACTGGGCTGTCTTAAGTCTATGATGCTTTTCGAGTGGAAAGGGCTAGTTAAAAAAAAAAAATACCTGCATAGGAAGCATGTAGCTTAGACACTTCTTAAGCTTATCAAAAACCCCAACTTGGGAGGAATTAGACTGTGTGTCATTTGATATCCTACTTATTTCAGGATGTCTGAGAAACCACAGCTCTGACTTAACCTGGAGAATTGCAGAGTTATGTATCTGTAGCAGTGAAATGCATATTTAATGCCATACACGGTGCATTGAGCCACTTATAAAATGCAGATAAGCTCAGATTTTCATTTTAGGAATCAGTTCTACCTAGTTCATTCTTTATGCATTAAACGTTTTCCTAATACAACCTGCCATGGACAGCCTACGCCGGACCAGTGTGACTTAGCCTTCTCAGAATGAGGTATCACACCACCAGGATTGGGGACAGGGCTGGGACGAAGATTAAGGGAGAGAGCAAAACTGTAGGAGGCACTTCCTCATAGGGACCCATAGGCGCCGGTGGTGACGCTGTACTGTCACCTGTAGGCTGCTTCTCTAGCCCTCTACACCAAAAACCCAAGGGCTGGGTCAGACCTGTAGCTTATAGAAGCTGGGAGGTGGGGTGTTTTTGTGGCCGGGCAAGAATCTTCGTCTAGTGTCTCAGAAGGTCTAATGCGTTTCTGAGGTTTAGGACCCTCTGAAGCCCAACAGGACAAGCAATTCATCTAGCCTCGGGTTATGACCAACCTGGGATAGTAGCTTAAAAACAAAACATAATTAACCAACACACAGGAAAGAGCAAGTAGGCCAGCCAGACCACAATCCGGCTGGCTGGCTTAGGCTGGCCATTATGTAACTGCTACCAGGTGTCACGCTAGAAGGCTTGGATCTTAGGGAGTACTTGTCATTAAAGCAAAATATAATTGATGGTGCAAGCTTGAGCTGTTCCAATTTTTTAATTAAAATATTTTATGCATTCATTTTTTTGTCTCCATGTTCACTGTATGATAAGAAAAAGAATAAAGTAGAAACTATCCATAAGCCTACTGGCCAGAGATCAGCATTATTAAAGCCACAAGGCAGTGGTTCTCAGCCTTCCTCGTGCTGTGACCCTTTAACACAGTTCCTTGTGTTGTGGTGACCCCCAATCATAAAAATGATTTTGTTGCTACTTCATAACTGTAATGAATCATGATGTCAATATCTGCTATGCAGGATATCTCGACCCCCAGAGAGGTCATTACCCACAGGTGGAGAACTGAATCCTTTCAGCATTTAGGGATTATTTTTCTATTGTGTTGACTCAGAAAAGCCCATCTTAACATGATGGAGCTCCGCATGTCTGGGCAGGTGTACATGTAGATTTCCTGTCTTTTGCTTCTCTGCTGCAAGAGTGAGGGAACTAGTTCTCCTGCCCAGGAAAGCCACCATTAGACCTTTCTCCTGGTTATCTCCTTTTGACTTTGATCCCTTGTTCCCTTGGGTGGTATTATATTCATTGACCAGCTCTTACGGTGTGTCTGCTGCCACCAGACCAACACCATTAGTCTAACACGTGGCTCCTGCCATTGAACGTCTGAAGGAGGAGGCAAAGCATGAGCTTGCACAACAGAGTCAAGTGCTTCCAAGGGCTCCAGAAACACGGATAGAGACCAGCCAACTTGGCTTGGGAGAAGTGGGGTTGCTTAGAAAAGGAGGTGACTCTTGAGCTGAGTCCAGAGAGACCCACCGTATGGCTTCTGTAGTCTCCAGCAAAACAGCACGCTCCTAAGAGTCCACTGTTCTTTTATGTCCTACTTTTCAGCCTGATCCCACAGTTGCCCATGATAATTAAATGAAACTTGCCAGATGGATGCTTTCGCAAGACGATGGCTCCTCTTCTTGCTCTATTTGTAAAAGCTGGCGTTAGATCCAAGTCCTCAAGGATTCTCCTACCTTGAGATGGCTTTGGAGAGCAGTGGCTCTTTTGTGTGTGTTTGCCAAACGGCCTGCCATCAGCAGGGCCAGGTTGAGTGACAGGTGGGTGTGCCATGCATGTGGACACTGGTCCCTGCCAACTTATCTTGCCTCGGAGGAGGTAAGGCGCTGAGCGGTTGTTCTTCGGCAGAGATGTCATTTATCACTGTTACCTTCCTTTGGGGAAATGAACGCCTTAAGTTTCTGACCTTTCAGTCTTTCTGTCTCACCTGTCTATTGCGCTTATTAGTTGTGTATAATTGACGTTGAAATCCCAGTGCTTCAGTTTAACACACACACACACACACACACACACACACACACACACACACTGAGTTACACTGTTTAAAGAAGCAATTTTCAGAGCATTAAAGGGAGAATGAAGGCTGGTAAATATTGTCATCTTAATCTGTAGCTAACTCGCTTAACTGGGGAGCAGGGTATTCTAATAGAAAACAACCAAATTAGCAATAATAACAACAATAATAGTGGCATCATTATTCATCCATGAATCATTCTAGGTTCTTTTAAAAAAAATTATTGCATTTATTTATTTGGGGGGGTGGGCACATGGAGGTCAAAGGGCAAGTAGGGGGAGTCTTTTCGCTCTCTCTCCTTCCACCATGTGAGTCCCAGGAATCAAGCTCAGATAGTGAGGATGGGTGGCAATCCTCTTTACCTACCAGGACATCTCAACAGCCCTCATTCTTTAGTTTTCTGCATGCTCTGTCTCCTTAACTTAATGATCATTCTGCAAGGTGGCCATCATTATTCCCTCTCTATGAATGAAGAAAGAGAATCGAGAGAGGGATTCCGGCGCTTAATCAGTTTGGATTGTCCACCAAACAACTGCCTCGCTGGTTCTCACAGCGATGTAGGTGGCCATGCTACCATCCCTGCCCACGTGATGTTGACTGTTAGCTGCATCTATTCTCAAAGCACCAGAATCCTTCAAATGCAGTGACACCCTAACTGTGCGGTAGGCGGTCACCTTCCTTTCACTTTAGAAATAATTCCAAGAATATGAAATTGTTGAATATCAATTGATTATTGTAGTTACACATGGCTGTCAAATTAGAGTCTTCCTGCTGGTACAATTTATGTTTTTGCTGATTATACTCAGATTGTAGATAAATGTATGAATAAAACTCCCAGGCTGTTTTCCTCTTCCTATTTTTCTGTGTTTTGTGTGTGAAATAAAGGTTTAGGTGCTCGCGCTTGTCATTCACTATTGTGATTGAGCCTTCCCTGTAAGTACAGCAATCCAAATCTTTCATCAGCGCCACCTCTTGCACTCCCTAAAAAGAGAGTATAGCTTCTGTCTTTGTGCAACAACGTCAAATTTCATCCATTTCACTCCCCATAACGTGAAGTGTCGGGGAAGGAAGAATGGCTTGAAGTCCTATTGGCAAGGAGTCTCAAGTTAAGGATGCTGATATTGACCTGAAACAGAAACCACCCAGGCTGGCCTTGCAGTGTCTGGTCTATAGAGTTTCTCAGCGTGTCTGTACCTTCAGGTGGATGAGGAGGGACCATGCAGGGCTGGACAGCATCCCCACTGAACTCTCCCGCCACCTCTGGGAGTCTCCAATCTCTGGTTTGAGCAGCGAGTCCCTTAGCTTCTTTGGCCGCCTCCAGAAGGTCCTAGGGATGGGATGAAAAAGAGAATGGGGAAAATCATGGCGTGGCTGTTTAGTAGACTGACATATGGCTATTCCTCTTCCTGCAGCAAAACCAGAAATCCTGACATCTGACAGGCTTGTGAATGGCATTCTCCAGTGTGTGGCAGCGGGATTCCCGAAGCCCATAATAGAGTGGTATTTTTGTACGGGAACAGAGCAAAGGTGAGAGGATTATTTTTGGCACTTCTTAAAATGCAGAAGGGAAGGGCTATAATTCAGTTGAATTTCAAATGTGTTTTCAGACTATTTATTTTTTTTAGAATAAAAAGCTGTGTTTTGATTATTTTTTTTTCCCTCCTATATCTCTGTGACTTTTTAAGAAGGGATAATGGCTATATTTTTCCTGGTTGACATTAATTTTGTTTGCTGAAAAATGATTACCGAGTGACTTCCCTATTTTGATGGCTATCTTTTTGGGTTTATCATGCAATTTCTAACCTGCAGGTAGATAAAGCAATTTCCCAGGACAGAGTAATTAGATTTCTATTCTATACACGGGAGGTAATGTGTGTGGGAAATATGGCTGCAGTTATCATGAGAAAAAAAAAAATACTTCAGAAGTTAATTGCCAAGTAACCAAAAAGTAATGATCTCACAATTACAACACACATATGGCATTTGTGAGCAATAGGTTTGCAAAAGTGTTTCTTCTTGATTAGGTGCTCGGACCCCGAAACAAGGAACACCTGCCACTGTGTGGCTTTTCCCTCAGACTCCACACTTTAGTCTTAAATTGTCCTCTCACATCACCTGAGGATGAAAATGGGGTCAACGTGGCTGGTTTTTAACCCCCCCCCCTCAAAAAAAGCCATGTTATACTCCAGCTTTAGAAGCTTAGTTTGGCCTCAGGAATAGTCAGAATGGTAGTAGAAATTTTATTTTTTTCATGGAAGATGTTTTACAGCAATTCGTCAGGATTGATTATGTTGGATTATTGTTTTAGGGTGGGCTTTAGCAGAACATTTTGTTTGGGGGAGCAATAAGGAAGGCATAAAAACTGCAAAATGTGTGCCCTCTGTGACATGGCCTGAGTAGATTAGCCTGTGCTCAGCCAAATGTTTATATGGAAGCGAACCAAGTGCCAAATGCTGGTCTGGCATACACCTGGCTTGGCTATGCCCAGGTCTCTGCCTTGGTGTAGCTGTATTTTAGGGGGTGGAGAGAGACATCAGACAAGACAAACAAGTGACATGATAGGTGTTTAGAGGGCAGGGGTAGGTGTTCAAGGACTAGCTCCTGAAGAGAATGTCCTTGCTGCCAGAGTGGCCATTGCCACACAGCAGGACCTGCTTCCAGCTCTGGACCACAGGCAGCTCTGGACCCTGTGCACGTTTTAAGTCTTTCTTGACTTCCTTCTTGTTGATTTCTTGCAATTTCCTCTTCTGTGCTCTCTATCTTCAGTCATCACTTACCCTTTTTCAAATGTGTTTGTTTCTGAGATTCTGAGTGTGGCAGGATCTGATGTTGGCAGCCATTTGCGTCCACTTCTTTCAGGAACTCTTGCGGGAGGGCAGCCACAAAAACCTAACATTGGAGAATTGACAGAACTTGGCAGGAATCTCCAGGTTGGGCACTTAGAGCAAGAATACAAGTCCACGTCCATCCCCTACATCATTACTCCCTCTTTCTGCTCTTTCACAGTGCTCTCCTCACTCATTGGTCCTCAAGGGCTTCATTTCTCTTCAGGCCATCCTGGCCACATGGCTGTGAAGGGAGTTCTTACTGGTAGTTTTGCCGAACAACTGTGCCAGATCAAGGCGTCATGGGCTTTTATTTGGTTTCCCTACATAAGCCCACACTGTTGTTCTCTTGTAGGTGTACCGTTCCTGTCGAAACTGTGGATGTACAGCTCCAGAACGTATCTGTGTCACCATTTGGAAAACTGGTGGTTCAGAGTTCCATAGACTCCAATGTCTTCCGGCACAATGGCACAGTGGAGTGTAAGGCCTACAACAGTGTGGGCAAGAGTTCCGCCTTCTTTAACTTTGCATTTAAAGGTAACAACAAAGGTATATTTCCTTTTAATCCAATTTAAGGGGATGTTTAGGCTCTGTCTATCATATCATGATTTCATGTCCATTCCAGAACTGGCCATATCATTTCTGGAAATACCTCCTGTCATACCATGTTGCCTTCAAACTTACAAACTCTCGTTCTGTACTAGTCTGCTGATGAAGTTTATCCATTTACCAGTGTAATCTCAACCATTTCTCTTTCCCTGTTCTCTGTGTGTCTGCATGAGCTTCTTGAAGAGTTATATACATATATTTGCGTGGGGTGCCTCCCTACCTTTTGCATCAGTAGAATTAGGGTATATTAGAATTTTTTAAATTCAGTTTAAAATTTTAGTTACATTAGGTGTTACATCATCTGTTGTATGATCTTGTCAGCCAATGAGTTTCCCCCCCTCCCAGTTTTATCTGTGTGTGTATGTACATGCTTGTCCATTTGTACTGTCAGAATCTCACAGGGCCCTGTGGGGTCTATGTGATGGTTTTCTGGGAGCTACACTCTTTGTCCAGCCAGCTCTTCAAGTTGTGCTTCCTGAGTGACTAGCAGGCCCAATGGCCCTTTGAAGGCCTTGAGGAGTGGGTACATATGACAAGGAAACTGGGCATTTGAGTTCATTGCAGTGCCCCGGGTCTGTGGCATTTACCAGGGGCCATAGGACTCGCCCCAAAAAGCTGTGTGTCCTCAGCTTTCAGATAAGGAGGGGCAGAGTCGTAACACTGCTCTTCTGTATTGTTAATTCTCCCAGACAGAACAATGAAAAGGAGGCTTCAGAAATGTCTTTCTTTCCTGTGAAAAGGTGTTTATGCTCGGTGTAGAGCATTTAGAAAACACAAGAAAGAAGAAAATGCAAACCACCCAGAAAGGAGGGCCACTCAGATGTTGTTTTTCATTAAAAACAGAACAGCGTTTATGCGTGCACTTCAGAAATTTCAGTTTCTCTGTAATCTGGTTTCAGCTTACATCTTCGAAGATGCCTGTGTACCCAGTGAGGCTGGGGGGCAGCTGTACAGTGCAATGTCAGCTTCCTTCCCCAGCACCAAAGAGGAAGGAAGGAAGGAAGGAAGGAAGGAAGGAAGGAAGGAAGGAAGGAAGGAAAGGAGGGAGGGAGGGATAGGAATGGAGGGAGGGAGGGATGATGTATTCGAACACCAAGAGCAAGATATGTTCCCTGTATGTGCTGTGAGAGAAATGGTTTAGTTTGGGACAGGAGGTGGCCAGGCTCTTGTCCCTCCAATAGCTCACAGTCATGATTCTCTTCGCTTGCAGAGCAAATCCAGGAACATACCCTGTTCACGCCGCTGCTCATTGGCTTTGTGGTCACAGCTGGCCTGATGGGCATCATCGTGATGGTTCTCGCCTACAAGTATTTGCAGGTGGGCATTCATTCTCTCCCTTCCCCGGAGCTCGATGGCCAGGCATCGGTTGTTAACCCGTCATTCTTTCCCTTTCTCCTCCAGAAGCCCATGTATGAAGTACAATGGAAGGTTGTGGAGGAGATAAATGGAAACAACTATGTTTACATAGACCCGACACAACTTCCTTATGATCACAAATGGGAGTTTCCCAGAAACAGGCTGAGTTTTGGTCAGTATGCAGCCGGGGCTTTCCTTTCAGCCTGTTTGTGTGCGAGTAACAATGGTTTTGTTTTGTTTTATTTATTTATTTTTTTTAAGGAACCTGCAGTGACTTCCTTTGTCTTGTTTCACCTGAAACAAGAAGTGCTTTCTGTCAAACAGCACAGTAGCTGGCAGGGTTAGCAAAGAGAACACTATAGAGAAGTGTGCCCAGACACATGTGCCTTGTTGATTTTGGGACCTCACGACTGGTCTCCCCGCTGACCCTGCCTCCTTTCTTTCCAAAGGGAAGACATTGGGTGCCGGTGCCTTCGGGAAGGTTGTTGAGGCCACCGCCTATGGCCTAATTAAGTCGGATGCTGCCATGACCGTCGCTGTGAAGATGCTCAAACGTAAGTGTGTGTAGGCAACCCACTGCCAGCTTGCCTAGTGAGTTTGTTTATTTCTTTCCTTTGCTAAAGTATACTGTTTTCCATTCTAGCAAGTGCCCATTTAACAGAGAGAGAGGCCCTCATGTCGGAGCTGAAGGTCCTGAGCTACCTGGGTAATCACATGAACATCGTGAATCTCCTCGGAGCATGTACCGTGGGAGGTGAGTCAGGCCATAGCACACCTGTTTCTGTCTATCGGGCTATCAAAATGTGATTTAGACAGTGCCTAATGATAAGCTGTTTGGGAGATTCCCCCCCCCCCCCAGTGTTTTGTTCTGTTTCTCTGCAGTGTTCCTAAGAATGTGGATTTTTATCATTTCTGTGTGTCGGGAGCCTTCAGGCTCCTGTCCTCCTGGTGTTTTGCGATGTGGGTTGTAGCTGTCACACCGTGTTGTAGAACTTTAGACTCGTGGCAACTGTGTTGTGGTTTCCATTACTCACGCTCTCATTTCCCCCTCGGCCTCAGGCTCTCATTTCCCTCTCAGCCTCTCATTTCCCCCTCCCTCTCACCAGTCTTAAGGACCTCCAATTGGCTGACCGTAGATCAACATTTTTAACTCCCACAAACATGTGAGGACGCCCGGGATCTCTCTCCGTGCGGAGCCACTCACACGCTCCTTTGCTCATTATCCGTCGCTTCCATGTATTGAACTATACCACTCTTGCCCTTAAACAGCTTTAACAGGCACAGAGGATTAGCTTCTGGCAGTATCATCCTGAGGGGGGAATAGCCAGGACATAGGAAACTTACTCTCACGGGTGCTACTCACTGGCCCGGCTCACCCAGAGGCTTTTCTTGTCTTAAAGCTTTATATGTTGCTGAGTCATAATTATTCAGTCAGGAGTTAATGTTCATTTGCCTTCTATAACTGAAAGTAGCCCCAAGCCTCTTACTTCTCAAATGCACACCAAAAGAAAAATAAGCTTCCATTAAAAACAAGCTTCAATTCTAATGAGTCAATGTCCTTGCCAAGGATGTCTTGGCTTTTGCAGAAGGAACAAGGTGCCTAGAGTGAGCTGTTGCTGTCTATCTAGAGAGCCACAGGACAGTAGGTGGCTTCAGATCATGTCTGAAAACAGCCCCCATAACTGGTGCTTCCAATCACACCAGGAGTCGCTCGTGTGGCGGTTCCTACCCTGGGTAATTAGTTGCCTGTTAACTTCAGAACTGAGCCTCTAAACATTCCGAGCACCGACTCTCCTTTTCAACTAGTAATGCTCAGGAAAACGGGTCGTTTCAGGTTTTTTCGCCTACTTCCCAGTCTGGGCTTAGCTGGCTGCTCCATGTGGCGACTTCCCTACCAGGCTGGCGCTCAGGTTCTTCATTTTCATAATAACATTACAGCAAGGACACTGAACCCTGCTGCACGCAGGCGTGGATCAAAGGATCCCTGCAGGAAGCTTGATCACAGTAGAACCTTTGGAAGCACTCAACTTGTGGCTGTGAAGCCAGCAGTCAGGCCTGGCCCCTGACGTCCATGTCACTTAGGCATCTAGGTAGAAAGGGGCCCGCTTGTTTTATTTCACTCCGCATAATGCTGCTCCTTTTGATAAGCGATGTTAATAGATAGGTTTAAGTTGGGACTAAGAAGGCTTAGCCACCGAGGCTGAATGTTAATAGCCACGTTCACCCTTGGGGTATTTCTACGGGAGGCAGGATTATCTAATGATGTATCTCGCCTCCCCCTAACATTTTCTTGTGTCCTCATAGGGCCCACCCTGGTCATTACAGAATATTGTTGCTATGGTGATCTTTTGAATTTTTTGAGAAGAAAACGTGACTCGTTTATTTTCTCAAAGCAAGAAGATCAGGCAGAAGCGGCGCTCTATAAGAACCTTCTGCATTCAAAGGAGTCTTCCTGGTAAGGCCGATTTGCATAAATAGTCAGCTGTTGACAGGCAGTTCATGGGGTCAGAAGGGTTTGCAATCAGGGCTGATTCTTTTTAAAAAATGAACAGAGGTACTCTGAGGTGTGAAATCAGAATTATTAAGTTCTTTAAATGTGATTAACTATTTCGGAAGTTCAGATAGTGCCCTTGAAGATTCAAATTAAGATTCTTAATGATTTCTTTTAAATGTGTGTTTCTGTTCTTCCCCGAGCCATGGGTCTATGGAACTGAATGTGTTGTCTATGTGTTTCTTTTTACTGTGATCCGTTATTGTGTTTCCATTCATATTGCGGACCTTGGGTTTGTAGGCGCCCTCACAGTGGGACTACTTGTAGGGCAGAGGTAAAAGGCTGCCCCATGGTCACAGGAAGTCCTGGAGACCGAGCAGAATAGCCAAGAACACGGAGCATATTTCCATATGTAGATGTCTTGTCATCATCATTGTTTTTGTGTCCCTGGCATGTCCTGCCATTTTACTATATTATAAAGATATCGCTGTTAGAGAACAGTGTTGGAATTCTGGACCTCATCAACACTGTTCTCAAGGGCAGTGATGCAAAGGATCATATATAAGCAGCTTCAAGTTCCTTGGAGGAAAACTGGTTTGCTGTACAACCACAGGAGAAATCTTTGCTGTGGCTTACCTGTCCTTTCTTTCCAAATGTGGTTGAGATCCACCAGGCCCAATGGAAACCATAATTGCACCCTAGCCCTTGTATTTTATACTGCTCCAATTGTGTAGTGGATCTTAACCTCTTTTCATGGTTATTCTAAGCCCTGGGTTCAAATCCCAGCACCAGAAACTAAAATCATGAACTGCCGAAGGAATTGTAGTCTGCATTTAGATGGCAGGATTTTGCCTTTTGACCAGGAGACCTCCATAAATTCTGATGAGCAGTGACCTACTGAGTTCTTTCCCACCACTAACGTTTTAAAGTCCCAAGTGACACTCTATATTTTCATTTTAATCCTGTAAACTTGAGTTTTTTTTACCATGGTATAAAATGCCAAAAACCTACCTATTGTTAGTTGTTCTTGAACGTGAACTCTTTGAACAGAAACAGGAGTCACTTTGCCTCATCTGGACCGGGGCCCCGTGTGTTTTTTAACTTGTTGAAATAAATGGCCTGAATTGGTCCATCCTGTGTGGTGTTCTCTGCTGCGCTTTGGGATCCATATCAAAGCGCACCAGCACATTCTGAAGGAGGTTGTTGTCATGGTGTTTCTATGCTAATCAGAGGCAGGAAGTACTAGAAATCTTGAAGAGTCTCCAGCCAAATGTTGCAGATTCAAGAGGTCCAGATGGTCTAGAAAATCATCCAAATTATTGGTGTTTATCTGAACCAAACTCGGTTTTTTAAAACCTTCTCTCGGTCGCTAGATGTTCAACCTCTCCCCCACTCACACATCCACTTGTCTGAGTAGGCTCTAATTTAGAGTCTGAAGTAACGTGAGGTAACTTTCTGTTTGTTTGGTTTTGGCTCTGTTTTTCCCCCATTAAATCCACGATAGCTGGAGACTGGATTCTTCTAACCTGATTCCCTACAAAGGAGACATTTAATTCCTGAGAATCAGACCTTAGTATTGAATGGCAAATGTTCATCTCACAGAACCCAGTCTTGAAACTCTTCATTCCTTTTCTTAACCTAAAGTCAGTCTGCTGTTGGGCAGTGGGTGAGAGCCGTAGCCTGGCCATCACGGCTGTGTTCCCGACCCCCTTACCAGTTCTCTTCATCTCTGACTTGGCTGTTGCATCTCTCCTGCAGCGACAGTGCCAACGAGTACATGGACATGAAGCCTGGGGTTTCCTATGTTGTGCCAACCAAGACAGACAAAAGGAGATCCGCAAGAATAGGTGGGTCCCCATCTCGCAGCCAAAACAACCCGACACGCAGGGATTGTTATCAAGATGTGTTTCTAATATTTACCTTGCTTTGGGATGAGGGGCCAGGGATCAGGTGCTGAGTTTGAAGAGTTGTGGCCCAAGGCTTTTGCCTCTTTCCCACTGACCGGAATGACCACATCATTCCCAGAAGGAATGTGCGGTGGTAAAGCAAAAGGTTTGCAGGTAGATGCTTCGGGCAAAAGCAAATGTTTTTCTACCTAGAATCTTACTGTTCTGGAAGTGTGACGGCATCCCTCCTCTTCTCACGGCTGAGGTCTTTTTTGCTGTCTTCCCAATAGACTCGTATATAGAACGAGATGTGGCTCCCGCCATCATGGAGGATGACGAGCTGGCACTGGACCTGGAAGACTTGCTGAGCTTCTCCTACCAGGTGGCCAAGGGCATGGCGTTCCTCGCCTCCAAGAACGTGAGTGGCAGTGAGTCTCACAAGAGGCTCAGGGAAGGCTTGAACATTTCATAGTCCCAGTTAGCATGCAGAGTGTCATTTTGAAGTGTGGTAACCAAAAGCGGAGGAAATTTCGTTTTCTCATGTTCCAACTGCTGTCTCTTTGGAATTCCTGCTCTGTTTTATAAGCTTGAAAGCGCAAACCTGTCTAAATGGGCTTCCATGAATATTCTTTTATATGCAGTGAATTCATTTAAAACTTTGGCTTTGAGATGTAGGATTTGCTTCTAGAAAATAGGACGATAATGGTGTCCTCAGCAAATGGGGGAGTCAGGACTGAACCTCACTGCTGCTATGCCTGGTGAGGCATTTATCTGGGCCCCATCAGGTGACACCCACATACCGTATGTACGACTCATGGAAAATCAGGAAATAGAGGTCAGAGAGAGCAATGAGCAGTTAGGAAAGGGATGGTGATGGGAAGAGAAGGATGGAAAGTGATTCTGGAAAGGATGGAAATGTTCCCTAGGAGGAAGGTGTGGCTGAGAATGAGGTCAGAGTGACTACTTTAGTGACATGTCTAGGTAATCACTAAACTAAAAGACAGGCTGAAATGAAGACCCTCTTCCTTGTGTCCTTGGGAGACAAGTTGAAGCTGTGAAACATTTTTAGAGGAAGATATTCAAAGAGATGCATACAAAGTTAACTTTCAGTTTAGAAATGCAATTTGACTATTTATAATACATTTTCCTATGAATGAAAGGAGGGGGGGACGTTTATTAGAATTGGGTTGGGAAGCAATTATAGTAATTAGAGTCCTGATCACATGAAACACAAAATGTGAATATCGTTTGTAGCACAGTTTTTATTTTTGGTGTCTGAAATACTTTAAAACAAAAGTTTTTTTTTTTTATTATGTAAACAGCATTGTAGTATTAAAAATCTTTTTTCTCTTTGAGAGCTGAAATGAATGGCTATCATTTTCTTTTCTCCCCCAATAGTGTATTCACAGAGATTTGGCAGCCAGGAATATCCTTCTCACTCATGGGCGGATCACAAAGATTTGTGATTTTGGTCTAGCCAGAGACATCAGGAATGATTCAAATTATGTGGTTAAAGGAAACGTGAGTACCTTCCTCTGTTTGGCGTGTCCACACAGGGTGTTTTGGCATCCAGTTTTGATTCAAAGTTGTTTTCTGTGATTGACTTACCCCCATCCCTACCGTGTCATGTCATGCATTTTGACAAAATTTTCATGGAACATTACCAGCACTAACGTTTAATAATAGAATTCTTAGTTATAATTGTGGAATTACTGGGCATGTGAAAGAAACAGAAATAGCCTTCATTTTTTTTATTATAGCCTGAGAGTAGCAATGAATTTGATTTTGCTCAACTCTAACAAATGTAGACCTGACGGCCACAGGAGGCTTTGTTTTTTTTTTTGTTTGTTTGTTTGTTTTTTGTTTTGTTTTGTTTTTCTGAGGTTGAAATAATATGCAAAAATGACTGCACTCTAAGATGGTGTTAGAGTTAGTTGTGTGCAATGCTGGGTCTCATCGTCTATTAAGGAGATTCATAAACAATGGCTGGTTTGTGGAACACAGTGAAATTTTCAAAGGGCTGTATTTCACCAGGAGCCTTTTCTGTAACCTCAGAACAAACCCGTGCCTCAGAACACATTGTCTTCCAATTTTTTATAGCGGTAGAAACTAAGGTACAGTATATTTTAGTGATTTATATCTGAGATAGCTAGTCAGTAGGGGCCAGTGGGTATGGAAGGCCATAACCTCCTAGATATATATTCTTAGGTGCCTTTTTTTCCCCCAGCCCATTTGAAAAGTCCATATATATTCTTAGAGGTCGATTTCTGTGTCTGTCATGATAATGTGATGCCTTCTCTCTCATCACCATAGCACCTCTTTTGGTAGGCTGTACACGACTCGGTTTTGTTAAGGGTATTCCTAGCTTTATATCCCAGCTCAATCATATGGTTCTGCAATGGCTCTGTCAAGGTCAGAGTTGGGTTTTGTTGTTGTTGTTGTTTTTGTTTTTGTTTTTTTTTTTAATTTTCAAGAGAATTGATGGAATCAACTTCCTGGCTTAATACTTGAAGGAAGATGGGGAATGCTTCCATATTCCATTATCAATATTCAGCTTCTGTATATAGATAAAGGAACAAGATAGAGGAAGTGAAGCACCAGGCTCCAGGCTGGCTGAGTGATGGCTTGGTCCCACTTAGCAGGTCTGGGCCTGACAAGAGCTAGGTACTCAGTACTTGGAGGCGTTAATACATGGCAGAGTTCTCAGAACAAGGCCAGCACCATTCCTACTCTGCTTTGTGCTTTTGAAATCCGAACTGTGAGGACAGAGGTTGTGCCCCAGCATCTTCCTCGCTCCTTCTGTAGTTGACAAGGCAAGCAGCTGAACTAGCCAATTGTTGGAGAAAGTTTAAAACAAGGAAAAGGTACATAACGTGGCGCTGCATGGAATTTTAAGTGTGGTTGTTGTAAAGTCTCTTGTTCTCTGAAAGAACTTTCAGAGAAATGGGAATTCATAATCATTTTCCACCCTGGGCTCTGAGTCCAGGGTAGCCTATGGGCCCCTTGTCGGAATGTCATTTCAAATGAATGGAATACTTAGATTTTACCAAAAAGAACAGGTACCCTGAGTGACAGCTATATCATTTTGAAGTTATATCAGTTATATCACATTTCAGAATCATTAATTTTGAAAAGTAAATTTATGGTAGACAGTGCACACACCTGTTTATTATATGGAGCAACTTATTATAAAAGCCGTTGTAAGTCTCAGAGGGACGGTGAATGAAAGTTTTGCCTGTGATTCCTGTAACTACTCTGATGGGATGGGAGGTGTCTTTGACCACTGTGGAGGACAGGTCATGGAGCCTCTTCTACTGCGTTTTGTAAAATGCTAGACTTAGCTTAGAAGTTAATTTTTAGGTACCTGGGCCCCTTGGATTCAAGACACTAATAGATTCTAGCTTAACAGCCCTGTTCAGAATTGCAGTGTAAAACCTGGGAATAGAGAGTAAATGGTCTTTATAGTTTGTGTGAGAATCATCCCCTACCCGACCCCCAAACTAAAATAACTTTAGCCCGAGAAGGGGCCCTTTTCCTAGTCTTCAGTCCTAGATGGATTTAAAGGATTGCTTTAGCTTCACGTGACAGATTAATATCCAGAAATCCTGACAGACTGTAAGAGGCCTGGTAGTGGAATGTCTCCTGTTGTGAGTACCAGTTCTGCTGCCTTCCGCCTCAGAGCTGCCACAGCGCTCATCAGAGCCTCTGGTCTGGGGAGACATTAGTGAGCTGGTAACCGTTAGGCATTTCCTCATTTATCCTATGAAACAACGCCTGGTATTTGAAGTTTTTATTATTGTTGTTGTTTGTTTCTGTTTTTGCAAAAGATGATTCTGAGGCTGGCTTATCCGTATTTAGGTGACTTCGCCAGCTGGTGAGGGGGAGGGGTAGCGTGGGTTGCACATGGCAGAAGGCCAAGAGTAAAAGGGAAGGGATTGAGGACCAGGCAGAGAATCCTACAGCAAACAGCTTACTTACTTGGCAGTGAACCCTACCTTTCTGTGTTTTTATCATTGCTGTGCATAGCCCTTTACATCCTGGTCAAAGATGACCACAAGGACAGCTAGCTGTCATGGTATGAGGCAGCACGTGAAGGGATGCCACAAGAAAGAGAACCTAGGTGTATAAACTGACGGTGTTTTACAGTTTTGTTGTTGTTTGTCCGTCCCCCTCCCCCACTCATGCCGCTGCATAAAACTTAGATCTTAGCAGCTAAAACAAAGTGGTCTGGCTCTAGCTGCAAAGGAGGCTAGGAAATGTAGTTCTAGCTGGGGGACGCCATATGTTTTTGTTGGCCAAGAGGAAGAGTGAAACACTGAGTCTATTTGTTGTCCAGAGCCATTGTCAGAAGGAAGGTTAGAACCTGTGGACTTCTGTGTTCTTAGCTTACTGTACTGTGCTGACTCAGTGCCCCTGTTTTGCAGGGGAGACGTTAGACTAGCAAGGCCTAAGTAGCCAATGGTGGCTGGAAGTCATGAAGGTTCCAGGTCTCACCTCATCACTGCCTTCCAGCCAGATCTGCCCCTGCAGGACTGCTTTCTGCTCTATCAATTGAGCCTCTTCATTAACTGGTTGGATTTACCATGTTTCCTCCTAGGCCCGACTGCCTGTGAAGTGGATGGCACCAGAAAGCATTTTCAACTGCGTGTACACATTTGAAAGTGACGTCTGGTCCTATGGGATTTTCCTCTGGGAGCTATTCTCTTTAGGTAAGAGGTCCCTTTATCAAAGGCTACCCTTGTGGTCCAAAAGCTGCTGGTGGTTTCCTTAGGATGCTGTCCACTCGTGACTTACACTGACTGCCCTCTCTATACCCCAGGAAGCAGCCCCTACCCAGGAATGCCGGTCGATTCCAAGTTTTACAAGATGATCAAGGAAGGTTTCCGGATGCTCAGTCCGGAGCACGCGCCTGCTGAAATGTAAGGACCCACAAGCCTTTTCTTCCGATGATTTCCCTCTTTTAAAAAGAGAAATGTTGACAGTCTCTGCCAGCGCAGTTCAGAATGTCACTTGGCTCCTTTGGTGGGCTGTGGTTCTTTTCCTACTCTCTTGTCACCGGTAGCATAGCAACTTTTGACAGTATCTCACACACACGGGGGTTTTATTCTGTGCGCGCGTCACTTCACACATCCTGGCGCATGGCCCAGATTTGTTACTGAAGCTGTCTGGCGGTGGACAGCCGAAAGCAGGTTAGGAGCGTCGGGGAGTGACGACAGCCCCTGTGTTCTCAGGTATGATGTAATGAAGACTTGCTGGGATGCTGATCCCCTGAAAAGGCCAACGTTCAAGCAGGTGGTTCAGCTCATTGAGAAGCAGATCTCTGACAGCACCAAGCACGTGAGTAACGGGCCGGGCCTGGGGTCCTCTTCCTCCTTGTTCTAAGGTCGGCATCCTCCAGCTTCCCCCACCTCCCCGGCTTGGATTAAAAGCTGGGCTTCCCAGGGTAGAAATGAAACAATGGAAGACTGTCCTCTCAGCTCATGCCCTCCCCTGCTTCCACCTCCGCTCTAATCCAGAGAGATGGGAGATGGGGGAGGAAGGGGGCCTTGTGTTCGGATGTGTGGAGTTAGATGCTATCATAAGGCCTGGTCGTGCTTCCTCCCCAGTCCTGGAATGCCGATCACACGACTGTCTGGTCTCCTCACATGGCAGGGCCGTTCCACCCTGGGTGGGTTGGATGAAAGCATGGAAGAAGACAGCCTGTTGTCACAGTCAAGTGAGCCTTAAACAGCCAGGGCCAGCCAGCGGCAATGTCTGTGATGGCCACAGCCACGTAGAAGGGTTGTTTGAAGTTAGGGCAGCCCTCCCAGTGATTTGAGGAGTGCAGAATAAAATAAATCCGTTATTTTTCTCTTTGGTTTTAAGGAGGAATTGGCTATCTTTGCTGGAACTAGACTTCCATTTAAGCTGCTCTCCCCCTCCCAGAGCTATCTGCTGGGAACTACCTTTTCTGCTAGCACACCAGTGATCCTTTCCAGTTAATGCTTGCTCTGTGGGGCATCATAGCACATTTCAAATGAAACATCATTTTCCACCCAAGTGCTTTGATTCCTGACAACTGACCTCTGAAAGAGTCATGGGTGTCGCTGCAATTTACACCAGCAGTTGGGTTGAGTTGGTTGTAGGGTTCCGTAAGCCGCCTTCATAGGCTAGCTAGTACTTGCTTTCAGACACATCCCATCAGAAGGGAAACATGGCAAGCATTGCGCCCCGCTGACCTGAAATGGTTTCCTTGGGCGGAAGCTGAGGTGTAAGTCTGATCTCGGTTTTGTCCAGTGTTCCTTGCCAAGCCCTGGTCTTCAGCATTCTGCAGCTGTGAGTGTCGCTGCTTCCTGGGTTTGTCAGGGGCACTGCTGCATTTGACTGTGGACTCTTTCTCCACAGATTTACTCCAACTTAACAAACTGCAATCTCAACCCGGAGACCCCTGTAGTGGTGGACCATTCTGTGAGGGTCAATTCCGTGGGCAGCAGCGCCTCTTCCACCCAGCCTCTGCTTGTTCAAGAAGATGCCTGAGCAGAAAGCAAGTCCAACAGGCTTCGCTGCTGTCCCGAACCCCATTTTGACTTCTATGATGGTTGTTTTGTTTCCCTTTGACTTGCCTGCTATCCCAGGGTAGCGGGCTCCTGCCCCCACCCCCAACCCCACTGTGATCCTGCCTTTACGAGCACACTTTAGTGGCTGATGACCTCTCTTTTTTTGCCACCAGCCACCATCCCACTGCGAAGGTCCGAACTGTATGTATATACCCTCCCAATAGCAAAGTAGCTCCTACGGTAAGCAGAAGGACCCCTGAGTTCTTCGCAATGCTCCTCTGAGTCTGTTTGAAAAGTGTGGCTAGTAGCTAATTTGAAGACTAGAAGTAGTCCCATTTGGCCTAGAGAGCCCTCCCTCCTGATGGGGAGAGGTAGCAAGACTAGAAAGGGAAACCCCAAGCCCTCTGTATGGACAGTAGAGGAGACTCGGGAGAGCATCTGGGCTTAAGAAATTTGTTCACACTGAGAAGACGACCTAGGCTGTGAAGGAACATGCCCCAGGAGTGTTAACAAAGATGCTCTGCTGTGGGCAGCTGCGCGGGCTTTTGTACAACTGACCTGGTTGTTAAATAGAGTTTGCTGTTAGGGAGTAGAGTTGGACGCGAGGCCTCCTCCCTAGCCAGCACTTGTATATACTCATCTGTGCGTTGTCTGTGTTCATACTTGGGAGGGGGAGCCCCACGAGCTTTAGTTTTCGTGTACAACCCTGGCATTAGGTCTGCTGTGTGTAGGAATAGTTTAAGAGCCATACAGATTTGAAGGAAACGGTTAAGGCGTTTTCTTTTTTAAGAAAAAATGTAACTGCTAAGCACAATCTTCTTTCTGAGACCTCGTAAGCCAACGTACTTGCTCTGTAGATTTCTCCAGAACAAGCCTTCCAGCTTCAGAGTGGCTTTGCAGCCAAGGGAGCTGACGCTGTTTGAAAAGGTTACCATTTTACCCCACAATTCCCACAGGAGTGAGAAAGCAGTGCGGTCCTGGTGTGGATTCTCACAGAGCAGGAAGTGGAAGTTAGATCCAGCCTTTTTTATGGACATGTCCTGGACATCGGGCCAGTATCTATAGAAGTGTGTGTGCGTGTGTGTGCGTGTGCATGCGTGTGGGTGAGTTCTTGCCCTGAGTCCCGAAGGACCTCCAGTACCCAAGAGTAACAGCTTTCACCACCACTCCTGTCTCTCTCTCCTGCTTCCCTGCACGTCGCTCGCTGTCCAGAAGAGTTTACCCAAAGCCACCGCAGAGGCTTGGCGGAGTGGCGCGCAGAAGGACCTATTTCTTGGAAACCCGCCTGCCCTCACAACACTCTAATCTATACTCAACATACTGTACCCGTCCCTTAAACCTGCAATGCTACCGTTCCAGGAAAACCTACTTAAAATCTGCCCTGTAGACTGGAGCCTGGATGTTACCCTGTAGTTGCCGCGCGCGGCCCCCCCCCCCCCCCATTGCCCATCATCACTGTCCAGTACAAGTGATGTGTGTACGTGGCAAGATTTATGTATTGTCTTGCAGAATTCAGGTATGTTGCCTTCACGGTTCGCTGCCCCGGCCCCCTTGTCCCTTAGACTACACTTAGAGGTGTGCGGCCATTAGCCTGGAGGTGACCATTTGCACTGGAGTTCTACACTCTTGCACCTTTCCAAAGCTAATTGGTTTGAAGGTTGTATCGTCATGTAGGAGACCGTCACTGTTTGCCATGCTGTCCGAAACATTCCTTTGCATTCCTGTTGACTTCAGTTATAGTAAGGAAAGTAGCTGTTAATTATGGATGTCTAGGTACTTCAGGGGCACACCATTTGAGAATTTTTGTCTCGGATATTCTTGAAAGTTTATATTTTTATAATTTTTTTTTTTTTTTACATCAGGTGTCAGATGTTTCTTTCAGTTGCTTGATGTTTGGAATTATTCTGTGGCTTTTTTTATAAATATTGAAATGTAGCAATAATGTCTTTTGAATATTCCCGAGCCCTATGAGTCCCTGAAAATATTTTTTATATATACAGTAACTTTATGTGTAAATATATAAGCTGTGCAAGTTTAAACATGTTATGTTTCATGTGGTTTTTTTTCTGATATGTTGTCCAATTGTTGACAGTTCTGAAGAATTCTAATAAAAATGTAAATATATAGATCAAATACGTTTTTGTGGTTTTTTTAATTTTTATTTTTTTATATTAATTACAGTTTATTCACTTTGTATCCCAGCTGAAGCCCCTTCCCTCATTCCTTCCGAATCCCATTCTCCCTCCCTTTTCTCCCATTGCCCTCTCTAAGTCCACTGATAGGTGAGGTCCTCCTCTCCTTCCATCTTACCCTAGCTTATCAGGTCTCATCAGGACTGGCTGCATTGTCCTCTTCTGTGGCCTGGTAAGGCTGCTCCCCCATCAGGGGAGGTGATCAAAGAGCCAGCCACTGAATTCATGTCAAGAGACAGGCTTTGTTCCCCTTACTAGGGTACCCACTTGGAGGCTGAGCTGCCAAGGGCCACATCTGTGCAGGGATTCTAGGTTATCTCCGTGCATGGTCCTTGGTTGGAAAATCAGTCTCAGAAAAGAGCCCTTTGCCCAGATAGTTTTAGTTCTGTTGCTCTCCTTGTAGAGCTCCTGTCCCTGAGTCTGGAGCCTTAGACCACTGGGCCATCCTAACCCTGGGGTTTGTTGGTTTGTTTGTTTCTTTGTTTTTTAGGTACATTCACCCAGTCAGAAAGTTTGTGTACAATTTGTATAAAATACATACAGGACTTTCATATTGCACTAGGATTTATATCCTTGAAAATTTAATAGATATTTATTAAGTAATTTTAGTGTATGTGTGTGTGTTTGTGTGTGTGTGTGTGTGTGTGTGTATGTGTTTTCATTTTATCCTTACAACCCGGGATTGCTATTCAAATTGAAAAGTGTAGAAAACATTTTGAGAGTTTTCCACATAGCTATGATTAACATTAGGTTGATTCATGGGAAGTGACTATTTGTTGGCAAAATAACAGTAAATAACAGCATTTCATGTGGTCCAAGCTAATGCACGCAGCATGTTTTCCCCAAAAACAGACTGACTAAAAATTAGCTTCAGCAGTGATATCCAAGGTTATACCAGGGATCTGAAGAAAGCAGCTTATGCTCTGGTTGGGGCGGGGGCTCAGGTGAACTGACCTCACTACGAGGCTAGGTGGATGCTTTTGTCCTACCCTCAGGCTCCTGGGGACAGAGCTCTGGTCTTGCTGGCTTCTGGGACAGAGTACAGTACCCTCGTGTGGAGACCTGTGATGTGTGAGAAAGCTATCCTCCTACGGCTGGGTCATCCCTGTGGCACTAGAAGGCACCAACCAAACCATTGGAACCACCTGAGAAAAAGAACCTCCCTGTACCATGAAGCTTATTAGGAAGGAGGTGGGTCAGAGGCCTAGTGTGAAAGTACTCACCAATCTGGTACACATCTATAATCCCAATGCTGGGGAGAATGAGAAGGGGCCCTGGAGCTTACTGGCCAGCTGGTCTATCGTCCTACTGGTCAAGTCCTAGCCAGTGAGAGAAATCTCAAAAAACCCAATGGACAGTGCCTAAGGAGTGAACAACACACATGAACCTACCTATACACGCTAGAATGGGTTATATGCTCAAATACCATCAGTCTTGACTGGCTGTATAGACATGTCATATACACGTGTTTAAAGTGTCCCCCAAGGGAAAGGAAAAGGGCAGGAGGTGAGCTGTGATGAAGACAGGTCCTTTCCAATCAGGAGGGGATTTTGTAGCTAGGAAGGCATCAATGGCAACAACGGGGAAGTCAGAGCCACATTTCAGTCAGAAGATGGCTGCTGGCTTAATACGAACAGAAATGAATGTTAATTGGCCACAGAACAAAGAGGCGTTTTCCTTCCAAATGCTTTCACTGTCATTTAGCCTTTCCATGTTTGAAATCTTGAGTTGGAAGCAGTTGAGGAGCTCATGCTATTAGCCTGCTGTTATTTCCCTCATGGGCCCAGGCCCTTGTCCAAGCTCAAATTGAGTTCAGATCTTGGTGTTAGCCCTGTCTTTGCCGTTTACTGCTGTGTGAAGTTGAGCTGATTACTCCTGAAATGTAGGTTTCATGGTACAAGTACTGGGATGCACTAATAGGAAATCTTCAAGACCACCTCCCTTATATGCCTAAACATACAGAGTGCTCAGAAATGGCAACACTCAGTAAGTAGTAGAAGGAAGTGTTGTATTCCTGTGATGGTACAAATCATAGAGATTCAATAACCACTTCCAACTATTACCTTCCTCCTAAATCAGTGGCTCTCAGCTGTCCTAATGCAGCCACCCTTTAATTCACTTCCTCATGTTGTGACCCCTTCCAAAATTACTACTTCATAACTCTAACTTTGCTACTGTTATGAATTGTAAATGTCTTATGGTCTTAGGTGACCCCTCTGAAAGGGCAGCTTGACAACCCCCCCAGGGGTCGTGACCCACAAATTGAGAACCACTGCCCTGAAGGCAAACAATGTTGCCCTGATGTAAGGTGACTTTACAGCTGGGATTTCTGTGCTCCCATCAAAATGCCAACACTTCAGCAGCAATTCTAGACTACTTCACCTGGCCTTCACGCCCATAAACACACCCCACTCCTTTTTTGCTGCCAATCTCTTGTCTCCTAAGTCCACATCTTTTCAAATCAACCGAAATCATCTCAGTTGGAAGCTGCCTCTCGTTCCATTCCATGCTTCCGGAGGCTCTCACCATAGGCCCCTACCCACTTTATCTAGTCTTAGAATACCCATCATGCTCACTGGTATGTACTTGCCTAGTACTGAATCGTGCAGTCATTCGGAGATGGTTCTAGGGTGGTTTTCTATTGCTGTGGTAAAATACCATGACCACAAATGACCCGGGGAGGAAAGTTTATTTCAGCTTACAGTTGTCCCTCATGAAAGGAAGTCTAGGCAGGAACCTGGAGGCAGGAGCATTCCATGGAGGAATGCTGCTTAGTCTCTTGCTCCTCCTGGCTTGCTCAGTTTCCTTTCTTACACCTTCCCCTGCCCCACCCTGGGCTTAGTAAGTACTGCCCAGAAGTAGTAGAATCCACAATAGGTTGGGTCCTTTCATGTCCATCTTTAGCCAAGAAAATGTTCTACAGACCAATCTGATGGGGACGTTTTCTCATCTGAGATTCCCTCTTCTTATATGACTCTATTTTATTTGGCCAGCACAAAAGGTTATGAGTTCCTAAAGACTTCTCAGTCAGCAGGTTATGAGACTGTAATCTGCATCCAGACCTGAATCTTCACTTTAGTCATGGGAAGTGCTTACTTTCCCCGTCCTGACATCTCCTACGCCCGTGTCCTTGGAAGACATCCATCCCAACCCTTCTGTGGTCTAGCCAAGGCACCTTGGGGACTTCAGCCTTACCCATGTAGCCCATTTTTTGGCCTGAGGGAGACTGGCCCACACATTCTCCCTGGGCCCCTAAAGGGAGAACAAGTTGCTATGTTCGTGAGACTGTTTCTGAAGTACAAGCGCCCCACTTATGGCCTCCAAAGCTGCAGGTACGGTGCTTCACACGTGGCTAATTTATAGTTCTCAAATAAATAATTAAACATTCCATTAGTGGGAGATGAAGGGGAGCCACCTGGGAAGAATTGGTCTCAGGAAAAATAAGGCAAACCTGGCTAGAGCAGGACCTAAGGAGGGCCTCGTTGCACAGCAGGCAGGGAAGAGGAAGTGCCAAGAACTTCTCTGGGCTGCCTTACCAGGCCTGGTCAGATGCCCCATGGAGAGGGAGGGGAGGGCTTGCAGGGATGGGTAAGGGAGATGGGAAAGGAATGTGGCATTCTGCAGGCCAGAAAGTTCAGGACCAGAGAAAACAGTTTCAGCTACATTGAATCCAGAGAGGTAGTTTTACTTTCTTTTGATTTTATTTTTATTTAGTGAAGGCCTGAAAGTGACAGCGCTCACCAAATTACTTCTTCACCTTCAATCTTGACATTCTCACATTGATACTGAATTCAAGGGTGGTGATTGCCTTCACCCTCTTCCAGGTTTTATACTTACTGTCGAGAAGTCAGCTCATGGGGTTAGGAGATCACTCTGAAGTAACAAGTGTTTGCAGCATTAGTGTGAGGACCTGAGTTCAATCCGCGGCACCCATATAAAAGCCACGTGAGCCGCTGTACGCCTGTAATCTCAGCACTCCGGAAGCAGGGACGGTAGAGTCCCTCAGGCTTGATGGCTAGGCAAATATGGCTGAATTGGTGAGCTCCAGATTTAGTGACAGACATTCTATTAAAAAAATAATAATAATAAGGTGGAGATTGACAGAAAGACCGTGACATCAACCTTGGGCCTCTACACTCAGGTGTGTACACATGATGTGCGTCTGCACACACACACACACACACACACACACACACACACACACACAGACTCAGAAGTCAGCGCAGTCTGTTCTGAAGATACTTAGGTTTTTGTATTTCTTTTTGCCTTTGCATCTTAACACTTTGCTATCTAAACTTGAGTTCCTTTTTATGTAACAAATGTCTTGCCGCCATATGCACTTTGCTGGCTTTCAATCAGTCCTGGAAAATGATCAGTCCTTTTTAAAGTGTCCATGCCCCTTCCCACCTTTCCTGGCACTTGATCGCCTCAGTGCGCCTCTCAGGTGTTCTCCCTCTGCCGTGCCTCTGAACTCCTAATCTATTTTTCGCATTTACTTTCTTCTTGGCGTTCTATGCTGCATGCAGCATGCTTTCTAGTCTTATTATTCTCTGAATCCTCTTTCAGCTCCTGGCCTCTGGAAAATATTTTTAGATCTTTTCACTGAGACATGACTAATAAACCATAAAATCTAACCAATGCAAAGTGTATACGCAGTGGTTTTAGTGTGCACTTAAACCTGGGATCCCAGTTTTAAATTTCTGTCATTCTAAAAATTCCCCTGGGGAGGTACCGAGGTGACTTTAATCGGTTAACTTTCAGTTAGTCTTGCCTTCTAAAATGAAGAACCGTTGGTTCTCATTACACAAATTCACGCATTGATTGTCTTTGGGCTCTTTCTGTATCAACTGATCATTTAAATAACAATGGCAACTGATGGGTTGACTTGTTCATA